TTTTTTCCAGGGATTCCCCCCCCCCCCCCCCCCCACAGCTTTCCAGGCTGGTCCCGGGCCTTTCATGGCCTCGAATGTTGGCCCAAAAACATTTGAGCATTTTTCAAGACACTTCGGGACCTGTCGCCACCGATTCTGAAAGAATGCTCCAATTTCAAGCTGTTCGGCGGAAACACGAATTCTATCGAAGAACTACCCATGACAAAGCATTTCTCAGAATTTCAGAGGATTGTCTGTTGGCAGCGTTCCTGGGGTGCTTTTACCAATCGGCAGCTGTTGCATCGAGGATTGCGGGCATCGGTGCATCCGAGGTGTCGGGGACTGGTGTTGCTTCGTCGTCTCCATGGCCTCCACTAGGTGGGGCTGGAACATCCGCATCCATCGTTGCAGCCTCGGCCTCGGGCTCTTGGATGACCTCTGAGAGGATTGCAGCTTCCTCTTCGGGTTCTGCCGGTTCGGGAAACGAGAACAAGTCCGCAGGCCCATCATCGTCTTCGATCGTCGTCACCCCGGCGATCTCGACAATGACCTCGATGTCTTCATCCCCCGGCGATGGTCGGGTCCATAGGGTCATGTTGCTGTCTGAGTCCCTTACGTATAGAACGCATTCGCCCGGGACTCTTTCGCGACATAGGATCCCCTCCGACACGGTCTCGAAGAGATAGGCGTGCTTCAGCACCTCGACCGTGTCAAACACAAGCTCGACATGCAGATTGGCACGCACTCCTGCCTTGTTCCCCAGTTCGGATAACGTGGCTTTTGCGAAGTAACAATGGTACTTCCCCGAGCCCCGGAATCCAGGTATGAGGCCGTCCTCGAGGATCTGAAAGGCTGCATCGTGAGTGGTCCGATGGTAGAGCCGATTCGGAAAGTCCTCGTCGCCACGGCACAAGAACGGCTTGCCTTTGTAGGCAGCTGGGACTCGGTCAATGGCACGCCTCCGCGGGTCGAGCCACCTGGTGGCGATGCTGGAATCATCGACCTCGTCCTGGACGCGCGCGCTGCCCATGGCTGGCAGAAATCCATATCGGCCAGACCCCGCAGTCAATGTAGTCGTTGCGCGGGTCCTTGGCATGCCCGGCGAGGAGGAACCGGCACTTATTGTCATGAGCGACCACTGATTGCAACATCCGGTGACCGATCACGACGTTGCGCCGCCGTTTCAACAGGAACAGTAGTTCCTCTACCCTGATCCACTTGCCGACCCTGCTCCTCGACTCCACGACCGAACCCCTTACTGCTCCAATCGTCCATTTGGACACTTTGTCCACCCAGCGAGGGGGCTTCAGCAAGTAGTCCATGGGGATGTCGGGCTTCTTGACAACTCTCATGTCCTCGTGCTCGGGGTTGTCGTCGGTGATTCTGCAGAAGCGGGCGTCGTCGACACCAAGCATGTAGTTGAGGTCGTCGTCGTCTCCAACCTTGTACCCGATCAGGTCCTTTGGGTCAATCCGCAAATTTCGGCCACCGCTGGGCGGGGCTGTAGATCTGGGTGCCTCCGTAGTGGCTTCGGACCTGCGTGCGGCCTTCGCTGCAGAGAAGGTGCGGCTGGCCTCGGTCCGGTACGGAATGGCATCGATCACCTCGTCGAAAGATGCAGTTACCATAGGTGGGTTCAAGGATGAAGATGACGCGGCCACAGCTGATGCTGGGCGGGAATGGCCTTCCGCATAGCTTGATTGCTTTGCATCGATGTCACGCTGGACACCATAGTGCCACTCCCGAAGCTCCGCGGGCACTTCGACCTCCTGCATGCCAGTCACCGGGATCTCTGGTTCCGGTACCCAAGTTTGCTCCCAAGGGTCCGGGCATTGCTCACGCGCCTCCTTCAGCTCGGCCTGCCTTTGAAGGCGGCGGGACAACTGCTGGCTCTGTAGCGTCCGATTGAACACGTGACGCATCAGGAATTTCCGTTCCGCCTTGGCGTCAAACGGGTACTCCGTCATCAAGCGCATCAGGAAGCTGGGCAAACGTAGATTCCACCTGACATAAGCGAATCCGGTTCACGAGGACGTTCGTTAGGGCCGACCTGTGTGTGCTGTCCTCTCGGAAGTGGTATCCGTCGTACTTGGGGATTTCAGCCACTACCTCCTCCAAGCTACCGGTGAAGATACCACGCCGCCGGCGTAGCTGAAAACATCCTGATCGCCTCACGGTACTCCGAAGGGAGGTTGTAGTCGATCGGGGATGCATCGCCCAAGATCTGGACACTGTTGACACACGGCCTGCC